GTCGGTTAAGCTTCCGACTTCGGCTCAGGTCATGATCTCCCGGTTTGTGGTTCCAGCCCCACGTCAGGCTCTGTGCTGACAGCTCAGAGCCTGGAGCCTGCTTCAGATTCTGTGTCTCTGTCTCCCTGCCCCTGCCCCTGCATGTGCTCTGTCTCTCTCTCCTTCTCAAAAATAAACGTTAAAAAAATATAGCAAGATGTAGCTCAAATGTCTCTTCTTCATGACTCTACTATTTACCCAGGCAGAACTGGCTAGCCCCCCGCCCCCTCTGTTATTTAGTTTTTGTGACATATGATGTCACACCATGCAATTGTTTACTATTTCTCCTTTTTACCCAAGTATGAACTTCTTAAAGGCAAGAACTCCTCTCATTTTTAATATTCTCAGTGCCTAGCACAGTACTGGACTTTCAGTCAGCACGCAATAAATGTTGAACAAGAGAATAAACAGATTATCTGGCACTGTGTCCTTTATGGTGGAAGGAAGGAGTTCATTATAAAATGGTCTTATTATCATCTGGAATTGTTTGATCATCCCACGGAATAATGGAGGTTTCAATTCTCTGTTGCAGCTCAAGCAGTATAACCAAACTCTTACAGAGACCACAGGGCTGTAGATAGAGGAAATGACTTCTGTCTTCTGTTGAACTTGTCTCCTAACCTCCTTCCATGGCTCAGTGCCTTGACTCCTGAATGTCAGGGCATATCATGTGGCTATAATGGGCTGAGAACCTGTTCCTCCCATCCTCCCAGATGTTCCCAATGTCCCCCCTCTTCTGTGTCTGGGGGAGGTAGCTTTATTTGCCCTGCATTGCTCTGCTGCTGGACAGGGAGCTTAAAAAATCAGACCACTGTGCCGTGAGGATTAAGCTCCTGTTACCACCATCCATCTCCAGAACGTTTTCCTCATCCCAAACTCTGTAGCCATTAAACACAGACTTCTCATTCTCTCCCATTCCAGCCCATTAGTAACCACGATTCTCCTTTCTATGAATTTGGTTACCCCGGGTTATCTCACATAAGTAGGATCATACGGTCTGTGTCCGTTTCTGCCTGGCTTACTTCACTCGGCACCATGTTTTCAAGATTCATCCGTGTTGCAGCATGTCTCAGAATTCCCCTGCTTTTTAAGGTGGAGTAATATTACATTGTGTGTGCGCGCGCACACACACACACACACACACACACACACACACCATTTTGTTTATCCCTTCATACATCGTCTGTCAGCAGACACTTGGGTTTCTACCTTTTGGCTTTGTGAAAAATGCTGCTATGGACATTGGTGTGCAAGTAGCTGTTCAAGTCCCTGATTTCAATTCTTTGGGGTAGGGACCTAGACCCGGATTGCTGGGTCATACAATAATGCTATGTTCAGTTTTTTTTTTTGAGGAAACTCTACACTGTTTTGCATAGTTTTACATTCTCATCAGCCACGTTTCCCCACGTTTTCACCAGCACTTGTTATTTTCTGTTGTTGTTTTTAACAGCCATCCTCATGGGTATGAAGTGGTACTCATGAATTTTGCACCTATGTTCATAAAAGACGTTGGTCTGTAGTGGTCTTTTTTTATAAATAGATTTAAGCATTTGGGACAATAATAATAATAATTAAAAAAAAAAAAAGTCAGGGCTGTCCTGAGGTTTCTTGGTTGTGTTGGTGAGCTTGTAGTGCCACAGAGAATCCTGGAGCAGGACCAGATTTTAAAGGACAGGGAGGAAGGATGTGTACAAAAAGTACTGTTGTAATATTGGGAAAGTTCAGCTCACAAGGACTGTGGCCCTCCTGGAGGAGGTATATAGTTGGCAACTGAGGGAACATGATCAAAACTTGAGAACGAGTAAGAACCAGGAAGACAGATGATGGGAGCATCTGCCATTTCTTGAGTAATGGTAAACGTTCACGAATTCCCAGCCTAAGTGTAGTAGCTGGAGTCACAGAACTGCAGGACTCTCCCGAGAGACAGAGAGAGTGACAATTGGCAAGAGGGCCAAGAACAGAACCCCGAAGAACCAAAATTTAAGTACTGTGCAGCAAAGAAATAGCCAATAGAGACTGCAAAAAAGGAAGCAGCAGGAGCGAATAGTATTTTGAAATCAAAGTAAAATACGGTATTTAAAAAGGAGAGCTGATTCTCCAATGTTTCAAGGAATTCCCGTGTTATTTTCCTCTTCGGTCCTCAGCCAGTGATCATGTCCATCACTGTAATTTATTAGATATCCTTTCTAGTCCCAGCAGAACCGAATTAACAGGAAAACTGGGTCAATGGCAGAGCGGGATTTATTATAAATTAACAAGCTTGTAGTGACAAGGTATGAGCATCCTTTTTGCTAACATTTCAAAACTGACATCTAAATTAAGCCTGTTTTGGGGCGCCTGGGTGGCGCAGTCGGTTAAGCGTCCGACTTCAGCCAGGTCACGATCTCCCGGTCCGTGAGTTCGAGCCCCGCGTCAGGCTCTGGGCTGATGGCTCAGAGCCTGGAGCCTGTTTCCGATTCTGTGTCTCCCTCTCTCTCTGCCCCTCCCCCGTTCATGCTCTGTCTCTCTCTGTCCCAAAAATAAAATAAACGTTAAAAAAAAAAAAAATTAAAAAAAAAATAAATAAATTAAGCCTGTTTTTATTTCAGTTGTGAAAAGTACAGATTAAGACTTAAAAATCATCTCTAAATTTATTATCATCATTTAAAAATAACACCAGGGCAAAGCCGCACCAGGACACAGCAAAACCTTTTACAACCCATCAGGCGTTTTTAAAACATTTATTTTAAAAATCAGAATAATGCGCTATATTTACTCACATATATTCCTGTTTGTTACCAGATATTTTCAGCAAACAGACATCTTTAAGCCTCTTCATCTGCTTTTATCAAACCTTCAAAGTGGCTCCTGCTGCTGTTGACAATCACAGCAGCCTGTTGGGGGTAAAGTATGGGGAGAGAAAAATAATCACGTATTCCTCAAAATTCAGAAATAATAAAGCACTTGAGCGGGTAAATGTGCATTTGTATGGCACCAACCAAGGCCAAAATAGTGATGTAATTTCCATACACACTCTAAAATGAATAATATAAACTTGTCCCATTATTAACTATGAACTCACCAAATACTTTGTGTTAAACCCTAGAGTTTTGTGGAATAGCTATTAAACTGATGACTACTTCGTAAACGTTGTAATAATTACGTATGTTCAAAAACACACGATCTTTTGAAAGTGCAGCTAAACAGTTAGTTTGGTGAAGAATCTCATGAAATCAAGTGTTACTGACCCAACACAATTATTCTGAAGGTAGGAGGAAAACAACACATGAGTTTTTATCGATGTAAGGTCTTTAGAATTCATGCTCAACCATTCCTCCACACGACCTGGCATTTAGTAATCATATATATTTTGGGGGGAATCGTTTTTAAAGACTCCTGTGTGTGCATAAATGTTTTTCTCTCTCCACCCCCCAAAAATTCTCTGAATGCAACAAATACCTTCTGAGTGGCTTCTATTTGGAGTTTTAAGAGAAACAGAGATGTATTACATGGTCCTTGCTTGCAGGTAGTTCATTCTGTACGGGGGAAGGAGGCATAAATCCATATACACAGTCGTGTGTTCTTAGGAGGGGAGGCAATGGGAGCACAGAGGTGTTGCAGATGTGGAAGTGGCCGGAGGTCATTCTAGATATTAAAGTAGGCTTTAACCCCAACATGAGGATGAATGGGCAGTGGTGACGGGAGCACACGGTGGGAACATGGCATGAGAAGCGGCCAAGTGAAGAACAGCTCCAGAGAAAGACGCGGAGGAATGCCTTTGCAAGAAGGTGGAGTGCAGGTACGCGGTGAAATGCAAAGGTTAGGAAAATGGCTTGGAGTCAGATTGAGAGGGGCTCGGACGTGGTATTAAAGATTTGTGCCTTGGGGCGCCTGGGTGGCGCAGTCGGTTAAGCGTCCGACTTCAGCCAAGTCACGATCTCGCGGTCCGGGAGTTCGAGCCCCGCGTCGGGCTCTGGGCTGATGGCTCAGAGCCTGGAGCCTGTTTCCGCTTCTGTGTCTCCCTCTCTCTCTGCCCCTCCCCCGTTCATGCTCTGTCTCTCTCTGTCCCAAAAATAAATAAACGTTGAAAAAAAAATTAAAAAAATAAAAAAAAAATAAAAAGATTTGTGCCTTTATTATGTGTGTATGAGGAGCAGCTGAAGGTAAGAACGTAGAGTGACGTGTCCAGAATTGCTTAAAGGAAGAAGAGTCTGCCACTCTGTGAGGGAGGATTTTCCCGTGACGCAGGCCATCTATATAAAAATTTGTATTGTACTTTAAGGTCTGAGTAAACCTTAACCAAGCTTGAAATATGAGAAGTTAATCAAACCCAGGAAAAAGCAAGTCCCAACAAATTTTTAATCTCGTTTTTTTTTCCCACATGACATCAATATAATGGCCCCCTTCAAGTATGTGCAAGTTAAGATTCTAGAAGATTCTAGAGTTCCAGCACTTCATCTTATAAAGGAATGGAAATCAAGAGAAGTGAAAGGACTTAATCTAGTTATACTACTTTGTCATAAGTAGAACCTGAGTTGGATAAAGGTCTTTAGAATTCAAGCTCAATCATTCCTCCACATTACCTGGCATTTAATAATAACATATATTTGTTTGGTAATCAGTTTTAAAGAATCCTAGTTTAACTGAGGAGAAGAGAATTGAATACTTCCCTCCTCCCACCCAATTTTTAACCCTCATGTATTAAAATACACATTTTTTTTTCCAGTGGAGGTAATCTGTTTTCACAAACAGAAAAGAACATGTATAACTATTTTGACTGTAAATAAATGTTGTGGTTAAAAAATTGAAGATGATGGCAGAATAGCATTTTTTTACATTTAAAATCTCCCTGAATTTTCCTTTTTTTCTTAGCGAAGTGAAAGAAATTTCAGACTAGTCTTATGATAGACATTCTTAAAATAAGGAAGACAAAACTAATTGATTTATGTTATCTGTAGCTGTAAAAAAAAAAAATTGTTGAGTACCTCACAGCAAAGAAATGCTGCCAATGAGCATAAAGATGTATATAAAAATAAGACATGGTCCCACCACTAGTGGCTTATAATCAAATAGGATTTGGAGCACTTGATAGATACTTTATTCCTTACTGAAAGCAAATTTCAGTAATGTTATCTCTATTTAGATATATATGCTAATTCACTTATATGTATAAAGAACAAAGAATTGTATGTAACTAACAATCGCTATATATTTTTCAATGAGAGAAAATCATTTGGGAAGAGAAAAATGCGGAAGCTAGAAGCAAAACAAACTTAAATGTTAGTTATTATCAATACTGAAGATAAATACTACATACAGTAGTAGTAGAAGAAAGTGAGATTGAAATGGTTACGTCTTTACTGAAATTTTAATTCCTTTTTATTTACTGTGGATTATTTTGAAGCAGATCAAGATGATTTCAAGTTGGTAAAAATAAAGTGAAATTCCAAGATACATTAATGAAAATGACTTCACTGGAAAAGTATGAAATGGGAAGAGACATATGTGTTGGATATAAAGGATTTGGTCATATTATGGAGGGTCTTAATGCTTGAGATAAGGCATGGTGACTCCATTCTAAAATTTGGATTAAAGACCATTCAAATTTATTTAAAATGTACGAGACAAAAAAAAAAAAATGCCATAAAGAAAAATCTACTTTTAGAAGATTCAAGAGCACTGGACTGGGTTGTTGTGAAGATAACATAAGGCATTTGTTGTATACCTAATTAGAATATAATAACTGCCAATTATAATAATAATTAGGAGATCTGTATTTTTATCCAGGCTCTGCCATCAAGTGACCTATGAGCATGAACATCTCTACTTCTCTGGCCCTCTGTTTCACAACATGTAAAATGAGAAGGTTAAACCAGATGATCCCAAGGAGTCACTTCAGGTTTAAAAATTCCAATTATTCATGTTGAATCCAGAGATCAAGGAATAGTACTCAGTACTTAAGCAGTGTTTTTACCCCCAAACCCCTCAAAGAATAAAGCTAAACAAACTTTTCATGGTCCAGTTTGCATATTTTGATCCAGTCTTTACTTAATTTTAAAAGTTATAAAACATGAAAACCCAAGAGTCCCCCAAAGTGGTCCCAATGCAGAACACTTGGGAATTTAAGAACACAATATTATTTTAAATATATTTAACAACTCAATTCACACATATTGACAGATGCAATGGAAAAGTAGACCACCAACAGATTCTGATTAAACTCCACAATCTGAAAATTTCATAGAAAAACAATAAGCCACTGCATATTCATACATCACATTAAAATATATATTTAAAGTATACATCCTCTTTTAAATGGCAGTGATTATACATTAGTGCAACCACAGAGCACTTGTAAACTTTTTTTTTTTTTGTGGTTCAACATCACCCATGGACAACAAATTCTGTTTGGTCAACTCCACTGTCTTTCTTGGGTCTAAGCGTTTTGAGTTTTCCTATGTTGACAGTTATAGCCTCTACCTACAACTGTATCCATCTATCCAGAAATGCCCACTGTCTGTGGGTGTGGGAGCAGGTGGTATACAGGTCAATCTGAAGAAATCTCTCACCTTTCTAAAGTAAGAAAAAGGGTTTGATCTGATGATTAGAGACATGACCATATATCACAGGCAATTTATACTTCTCACTAGGCAGGAAGCTTTGTCAAAATGGAGTAAGGTTCAGGCCAGAGACGGCTTCAGTATGATTCCTTAGTTATCTCTCCTTCGGGCCCTTAGTGTTAAGGAAGGGAAGATAAGAAAGGATGCTTGTCAAAAGTGGCTGACATCATCTCAGCCTTGCTTTTAAAATGCCACAGTTTAAAATTCAAAGGCTGATAATGATAATAACAAGTTGCTTTATGAAAAGCAACCTAAGCTTAAGCAACTCAAGCAACTTAAGCTGTCCGCTTAAGCGTTAATCAAACAAGTTGCATGTTCTTATATATCGAGATTCTCAGGAGCAAGCAGCAAACTCTGGTCGCAATGGCATATGTAATGAAGCAAACACTCTTCTCTGCTTTCATCAAGACTCGGTCTGTGGCTGGCAGGAAGTCCTAAGCGTGTGCAGTGGAGTGCTGACCAGAAACACAGATCTAACTAAAGATGGGACACAGACAGAATGGAGCTTCTTTCCTTGAAATCCAAACATCATGTCAAATTGACGTTTTTTGGTCCTCTTGGCAAGAAAAGGTACATCAACTTCCGTCACCACTAGGGAGACTCAAAATGTTTATTCATGAATTTTCAGTCACCTCCCTTTAATTTACAGTATGTGCATGTTAACAACAACAATGAATCCCCGAGTTTCAGCTGAAAATACAACAGTTTCAATGTATTTCTTAATCACTAAGTATGTATGTATTCTTCCACATTCCTATTATCTACTTCAGGTCTGAGATGCCCCCTTGTGGCACTTTTCTAAGTAGGCTCCTCAGCACAGAATAGCATCTCAAAGGTCAAATCTTCTGGCCCAAGGGAAGTGCTCAGGATTCAATCTTCTTGAAAATTCTGTGCTGGGTCTCACTGGGTGGCCTTGTGTAATCCAACCAGATTGCTTTTGAACAAAAAGAGGAGTCAAAGAGAACTTGGGTTTCCAGAGAAAAATAAAGTGCTGCCCCCTATAAATCACAGTCTCTGTGGAGTACAGTGTCTTCCTAAAGAGGTAGAAATAATAGGGGTGTGTGTTGTAGGTGCCCATATTTCAATGATACTGAACACTGTATCTTTAAGGGCTGCATCTTTAAGGGCTTAAAATGGACTGACTCCACTCATCCCTCTGATTTTTTCATAAGTAAGCCAGAACACCAGTGACCAAGGGGTCTGAAAGATTAACCAAAGAAGTTAGTGCATATTTCAAAGCGATTATGAATATTCTACATAGACGCATATACATCTTGGAATGACGAAGTCATTTTGAATCCACTTAGGCTGCAAACAAATATTTTGGTATTTCACCTTTAAAGAGCACTTTATAACTGACAAAACATTTTCATATCTTATTTTTCATAGATTTCTCTGAACAATTTACAATAGAAAGGAAAGGTACTGACACCCCTATTTTACACATGAGGGCACTGAGGCTTGGCAATCGAATACCTATTAACATATGATAGAGCTAGACTACAGGCTTCTGGCTTCCATTCTAGGGTTCTTTTCACTGAACCATTACTAGCTAAAAGGCTAGGACTCGCCATGCCTGAATTCTAGGCTGGGCTCTTCTGTGTGTACTTTCTGTGTGGAGATGGACAAGGAGACATTTAAGAACTTGAAACTGAAAACAGAAGATTAGCCCCTGAGATGTAAACCATAAACTCAACACCTGATCTCTCACAAAGTAGATAGAAAAATTCCCATTAATGAGAGAAAAGAGCTTCCAGCTCAGGGAGACATGCCTATCTTGATATAACTGTGTCAAAAGGAATTAAAGGGAAGGGGGTTATTCAACAATAGAAGATATAAACGTGGAAGGAAATCACAGAGGAAACACTGGAAGGAATCGTCAGGGAAAGAGTATCTTGGATCCAGTTCCTGTATGGTTTAGTTCATAGGTTATAGGTGATATAGATCAGAGAAAAACTATCACACTAGAATCAAAATAGAAGCCTGAGCAATTAGACTATAAAATGCATTTGGTTAGACACTCTGTGAAGCAATATTTAGGTCACGTGTTTAGAAATACGGAGTATGTTATATGGGAGACGGAGACTTTACCGGTGGGCTTAGGAGAACACATCTTGATTAGTTAAATGTGTGAAGACGGACACCAAATAAAGAAGGTGAAGCCATGACGATATCATATTCTTGTGACAACAAAAATCAAGTGAGCCACGGATATAATTGCAATCAGATCAAGGAATTAGAGGTCTTGGTTAAGACTGGACATATTATATAATCATTCCTAACTGTTCTGGTAATCAGACTTCTGTATGCGAATGAAAGAAATATTAATTAGGGATTGAGCAAAGCAAGGCCATACTACTTTCACGTAGTGGAAGGGCCTGGGCTGAAGTTTAGCTGGGCTATGAATGGGAGTTGGACAGGGAGAGCATACAGCCACTAACAGGGGTACTACATAGATGGGATCCTTGGAGCGTCTGCGCAGGATCACATGCAGGTGGTGCATGTGCACTTGGTTTTTCTTCACCAGTATAGTTATACTGCCGTAAAGAATCCAAGTGAATATGAACCCATGTGGTCTGCTCTGGTCTGGCTATTGCTGTGACTGCTCAAAAGAGTCCTTCTCCATGCCTTTCACTGTGGGGCTGAACACATAAGGGCTCTTGGGTTGATATTCTTAAATACTAAGATTACAAATAAGCTCTTCCTGTTATCTTTCTGTGTGCAGCAAGCAGCCTCCTGATTGTGACCTGCCTTCACGTACAGCTTGAATTTAGGAAGCACACTGTCCAAAGGACTTCAGCGTCTGGATCACTTGCCAAGTGTGTTTCTCCGTGTGAAGGGGCCAGTGCCGTGGTCTGATCGTCAGTTTCAACGAATATGGTTGAAGTGAATCTGTATTTGCAAGGCCAATTTACTTGCAGGTTTCATGAGTCAGGTTTCTAAGCTCAGGGTCATGCACTGTGGCAGACCAACAAGGCAGTGCCACCCTGGAGATCTCTGCTGGTTAGCCAGCTGTTTGGGGAACATCTCTCTATCAGCACGCACTGTCTCTTTTCCCTGACGACTTCCATAGCTACCTGCAGGATCTTGAGAGATTCACTACACTGTATTAGCCAGGAGCATGGCTTCAGAGCTGAACAGACCCACAGCTAATTCCCAGCTCTGCCACATACCACCTAAATGAACTTGGGCAAGCGTCTCATCCTTTGAGCCATGTTTTTCTCATCTGAAAAATGAGGATAACACCACCTGTTTTACTAGGTTCTCAAAGACTTCGCACAGTGCCTGTCCTATGTGAAGTACTCTTTTTTTCTTATTTATATTCCCTGAGTCTCACACATAAAGAGAATGGGTCAGATTCAGTGGTCTCGGTATTCCTTTGGACTTGGATATTCTCCCTGCCCTCACGCCTCCTGCCCGATTTTTTCACCAATGGCCTCACCATCCTCACAGTCTCCCACACTAGACATCCAAAAGTCCCATTTCCTTTGTTCCCTCCCCACCTTTTACATAGAGTCAGTTAAGTCCTGTGGAGTTAACCATATATGTCTCTAGAATATATCTTTGCTCCATTTTTTACAATCATCTCCAGGATAGAGCGCAGATAAAACTTCCTTTCTTGGGTCCTGGCTTTAAATGTATCTTCTATATTGCTGCCAAAGTAGTCCTGTCCCCAAACAAACCTGAGTACTTTTCTCCCATGATTGAAGAGCTGCTTGCTTGCTCCGGGGTTTTCCCTAAACCAGCAAACTGACCCCAGTAAGGTCCTTTTATAACCCAGTCCATAGGTACTTCTCTAGAATTCTGTCCCACCACGTCTCCCCTGAGGACCTATTCTCCAGCTACACCGAATTTTCTGCAGTTGCCCCAACCTACTGGGTCCACGCATGAGTTGATCCCTAGGCTCATACTGCTTTTCTTGATAAATGCCTACTGATCTTTCAAAGCTCGGATCAAACGTGCCTCTGCAGAAGACTTTTGTGCCTTCCCAAACAGTCAGAGCCATGTTTACTTCACTACCCGTGTTCCCAACACATTTTGTTTATACCACTAGTAGAGCAGTAATACAAACTGCTTAGTAAGACCATGTCCTCTGGAGTCAGACTTGCTGGGTTTGCCTCCCTGATGCCACTAATTGATAACTACCTAGCCTGGCTGAGTTCTTTATACTCTAAGCTTTTGTTATTCCTCTCTAAGAGAGAAATCACAATAACCTACTGAAGAGATTGTTGGGAGAGTTCAGTGAGTTAATCCGTGAAAATGATGAGCACGGTGTTGGTGCTCTTACCAACTGATATTTAATAATGTTAACTTTATTATTTCTGTAATTTTCACTATTTACATGTGTACATTTTCCATCACATTATAAGCTCCTCTCAGGCAAAAAACTTATTCCCTAGGGCTACCAGCACTTACGATAGTGCCTGGTTCATGGCAGGCCAAATCAAAATCCTCCTTTCCATTAAGAAACATCCATAGATTTGAGATAATTTCAAGATAGAATCTAGACAGTCAAAATAAGGTTTTACACTTGGGTACACTTTTGGACCAGCTATTGCCCAGGGCTTTGGCTATTAAATCTATGTTAATAGATACCTACTATTGCTTGGTGATGTCACTTATTCTCAGAGCTTCAATTCCCATCTATATGTAGACAGTGCTCCCCTCTAAATCTCCATCCCCATATTTTCTATAAGATCCAGATCAATATACGAAGCTAGTTATCTAGACCTCTGTTCTTAGATGTCCTATGAGTATTCAAAGCTTGACAAATCTAGAGCTAAACTTGTTATTCTACCATGAAATCATCCCTACAAATGATCTCCGTGTTAGGATATTACATCATCCGTTGCTCAGGCTGGGAATCTGGGAATGAAACCCAGCATTTCTTGCCTTCTTTGACCATTTCCCCCCCCCCCCCCCCCCCATCCAGTCATGCTTGTCATGCTTCCAGCTCCTTGCTTTCTCCTAAATTATTCTGTACATCTATCTTTTTCTTTCCCCATTGTGGTAGTCTAGTCCGCACTATCATTATGTCTCATCTACTACTGTTCCTGGCCTTTCTCTAATCCACATGGCAGCTGGAATGATCTTTTTAAAAATACACGTATCATCAAGCCGGTGCCCCTCACTCTTATGGGTCCTATGACCCTTCCCACGCTGATCTCTGCCTCTCTCTGGCCTCACCTTGTACCTCTCTCCTCCATGTCTTCATGCCTCGGCCGGCTGGGTTTCCTTCAGTTCCTCGAACTCCTCATGTTCTCTGTCCATGCCAATGATTCCCTCTACCTAGAATGTTTTTTCTGCTCTTTTTTACCTGGCTAAGTCCTACCCATTCTTCAAAACTCAATTCTAAAGTCCATTGTCCATGGAGGTATTCTCCATCTCCAGGCCTAGGCTGTATGCCCTTGCTATATATTGCCATAGCACCTTGCACTTTTCCTCTACCACTCATCACTTCCAGTTTTTTATTCAGTGTTTGGCCTTATCAAACCAGCAGCTCTGGCACTAGAGCAGGGGGGTGAGACTCTTCTGTTCATCCCCCCAAACCAGGCATTGAGTACAGGGCTTCGCATGGAGTAGGTGCTCAATAAATATTATCATATTGTGTAAAGTGTTGATTGTTTGAATTTCTAAATGCACGACTCAGTCTTTCAAATATGTTCCAACTTACAAAGTCCTTGAGTACCCTGTGTTTATTATATATGTTGTTACTTGAATAAGTCTCACACTACATCTTTGTTCACCTCCATAAAAAATAACATCCAGACCTAATAAAAATGACATAAGGCTTTCTTACTAAGCAGAGCTTTGTGGTGATAAGTATTAATGGATAATGCAACATTTGCCACCAAAGTAACAAAAATTTGTTTGAAACAGTAACATTTCCATAGGAATGGTCTCTAGCATAAAATCTTTATACCTGTCCCAAACTACAGTACTTTGACTAAATAGACCACTAAAGGTTTTTCAATTGCAGAAAAACCCTCTCCTCTGGCTTTATAACAACAGAATATGAACTTATTTATTTCTGGATGTAACTGAATTATTTTACTTTATTCTACCAAGAAAGGTAACAGGACTCTGAGGAGAGGTAAAAAGAAAACAAAAAAAAAGATATAAAAAAGAGAAAGAATTGTGGTTTGGGGGCAGAGCCATGCTAAAAACCAAAAGAGAAAGGGGAAGATATTTACAGATTAAAAGCAATTTAAGTACAAAGAAAACAAAAACAAAGGAAAAACCTGACGTTACCATTCTCAGCCAAGATGGTAAAAAGCCTTTATATAGACTCATGAATCCTTCTCCTTGAACAGCCTGAATCAAGCAGTCAGTTGATGATTTATACAAAAGTCCCCTAAAAAGGAAAGAAGACAGTTCTACTAAATTTCTTGTGTGTAAATGGATGTGTAAATAAAACATAAATAAAAAATAGTCTAAGCAAACTTACTCTAATGAAACTTAAATATTTTCTGCTAGCTTAGAACAAATAATATTTGTAGTTCAGTATATATAAATCACCTCTTTTGAGTTTAAAGGTATTTTCTTTAGATGTCTAAGGCTGACTCTTCTGATTCATCCCACCCTTAGTCTTATACTTAGAATTCGCTCTACCTGATCTCTTCCAGAGAGAATATAGTGTTTTATATCAAATCAAATTCTCCGTGTTACCTGTAAGTCATAAGCTTCTGAAGAAAGTGCTCTGTAAATTCTCAGCAGAGTATATTTTCATAAACTCTTTGAAAACAATAAAATCACAATAAATACCTTGTGTCTAAATAATATGATCATTAAATTAGTTTATATCCTCAAATGCACAGTACTTTTCCATCAGACAAAGAGCAAGTAATTACATACAAACAGTTTGCTCGTTGAACACACGAACACACGTATTCATTTCTAACAAGAATAAATGCAGGGAAACATCTTAAAGAAACATTATTATTACAGACATTCGAACACATGAATAGTGAAGACTTTCTATCTACCTTCCTTGTTTATCTCGTGGTTGATTCATTATTCGGCTTTTGATGACATCAGCAGGTGTTCCCAGAATAGAAGCTACCAGGCCAGAACATAAACTGTAAATACAAAGAAATGAATTTGAAAGATAATAAACATAGGGGTTTCTAAATTTTGAGAAAGGGAAATTTGATATGTAGACAGAAAGAATGTATGTATCATTGTATTATTCTTCATAACGATCTTAGTTTACCTTAAAGTCAATGCTTAATGAATTCACTAAAGAGGTAGAAAAAAGAAAAACTAAAAATAATGTCCAGTCAACAAGTATACACGGAACACCTGCTGGTGGCAGGCCCTCTTCTAGGCAGTGGGGAAGACACACCCGGTCCTGTCCCTGAGGCACTTAGTTGGGAAGAGGCAGAGAGGAAATGAATAATTTCAGATGCAGGTAAGTGCAATAAAAAAAAAAAAACAAAATGGGACAGTGTGCTAGGGAGTAACTGGGTGACAGGCAGCCGGGGAGAGGCTCTGGGGCAGCAGCAGAACCGAGACCTGAATGGTGAGAAGCATCCGTGTGAAGACACGGGGGAAGAATGTTGTGGGCAAGAGGAACAGCCCAGGAGAAGCCGTGGGTCAGAAAGTGCCCTTGGTGTGCTTAACGGCCAGAAGGCGGCCAGCATGGCTATGGCGTCCTGAAGGAGGGAGGCCAGCCATGTGGAAGACTAAAGAAGCAGGCAGAGATCAGCCCATGAAGGTTATTTAAGGAGTCTGATTTTATCCTAGATATGAAAGGAAGTCATCGAGAGGATCGGAAGCAAGGGAATCACCTACTTTGGTTAATAGTTAACAAATAAGAAAAAGTTCACTCTGACCGCTGTTTAAGCCTCACTTCACTAAGCTGTTTGATTTGAATACAATAACCTTACCTTTTCCCGCCAGCCTAAAGGATCTTTCTAAAATACAAGTCTAACTATGTCATTTTTCCCTACTTAGAGGCATCTAAGACTCGTTCCCTATTACCTGATTTAGCTTCTACACTGGCTGCCGCACATATTACTCCAAAATCACATCCCTCTTTGCCCATTATGCTCTAACAACATAACTAAGTGTAGTTCTCTCTACTCCCCATACTATGTAACACCTCCGTGTCTTCAGTTCTTCCATTTGGAATGTCCTGCACCCCCATCTAGTAGGAAAATTCCTGTTTTTCCTTGAATCTATGTTCAGGCATAAGGGCTAGGAAGTTTAGGCTTATCCCTTCTTCCTTTATCCACCAAGGCTAATCACTCCTTCTTGAAAATGGCATGTCAGTTACTCAGAAAAGACAAAATGGATGTGGTCAGCCTACTGCAGAGTAAATCAAGATTCTGAGAAGATACTGAGAAGTTAATCAAGAGACTGAGAAGTGAAGAAACCACTAACAGTTCATTATATATGTGGGCATGAGAGGCAATTACAGAGCATGAGCATCCACACACTGAAAACCCACGAACTTCTTGAAACTTTTCCATGAGAAAGACCTATGATGAGTAAAAGGGTGGTTGACCTGAGTCATAGAGAATGGAAGTCCCATGTCCCAGAAGCCGAATCCGCAGACTGGGATCCTGGTAGTAAGCATAACGGCTTATAAACATAAACAGCCAATGGAAAGCTGTTAGGAAACCGTGGAAAGGAAAGGAAACCGTGGAAAACTTTTAGGTCCTTCCAGGACATCAAATACCTCACAAAGACAGGGACCACTGGCTTCTGTGCCAAGGCTTTTGAAATCTCTGAAAGCTCTATGGCAGGAAGTTGAAGCTACCTTAGGAATTTTCATACTCTCTCTCACTCTAGGAAGTACCCAGACTCTGTCTCCCTCTTTCCAGCCAGGATTTATAATTCAAAGGAGAAAACTACTTTAGAAATACTTGAATTCGAGAGAAGGAAATCATAGAACCTATCTCATATTACAGCAAATGACCCAACTGTATGTCATGTACATACAGCCTATTTCATATGCTACAGCAAATGACCTAATAACTCTCTTGTGTCTCTGTCCACATAACAGCCGCTGTCTATGTGGGAAGAGCTCTTGTTTCACCATATACTTTCCAGTAGGTGCACACAACTGCTCTTTTCATATTCTTTCCTATTAGTTCAGATTCTCTGAAAGCTTAATACCATCAATTTTAATACACCTTCATATTTTCACACAGAAAATCTTAACTAACACCTAAGGATATAGTGTGCTTTGGCTAGACTTCTTTAAAAAAATAAACATTGAAAGAGCAAATAATGTGTTAAAGAGGCCTCAAATAAGATGGTATCTAGGGTCAAAATGAAAAGATAGGGCAATAAAAGGAACATGGATTTTGCTCAAGCTACTTGCACTGAAATGGACGTTGCTGCTTTTTGCTATTGGCCTTTATCGCTCCTTGCTAGTAATACCCCCAAATGAAGCCCAGGCCACAGCTGAAGTGATAATGGACAGAAAGTGACCAGGTGAGTCTTCTGATCTCTCCAGAAGGCCCAATGGCTACCTGCAAGACCAGTGTCAGATATTCCATCAGCACTGTTTCAGAGAAAGTGATCCTCTCAAGGATGAACTAAATAATCATGCTCATGTATCACCTTCACAGAGAGTAAACTAGCCAGTTTTACCTCTCAATAGCCTCATGATTTGAAAAGAAGAAAAAAGGCATGCCTGGGTGGTTCAGTCAGGTAAGAGTCCAGCTCTTGGTTTCGGCTCAGGTCGTGATCTCATGGTTCTTGAGACTGAGCCCCACTTTGGTCAGAAAGCAGAGCCTGATCAGAGCCTGCTTGGGATTCCCTCTCCTTCTTCTCCTTCTCCTTCTGCTCCTCTTCCTCCTCCTCCCCCTCCTCCTCCTCCTCCTCCTCCTCCTTCTTCTTCTTCTTCTTCTCTCTCTCTCTCTCTCTCCCTCTCCCTCCCTCCCTCCCACTCCATCCTCTCAAAATAAAAAAAACATTTAAAAAAATAAGAAAAAAAAAAGATTATTCTGGCCTTTCTGTTCTTTATCATCACCTGACCATTAATTCAACTCTCCACTGTTCCTCTGCTTTCTTTAGTAAACGTAACTTGTCACCTGCTTTCTCACCTCACTAAAATCCTGACTTGTCTTTTACTGTTCCTGCTCTACCCTGGGAGAGGTACTTTTACTTACACCATTTTTAAGGGGCGCCTGGGTGGCGCAGTCGGTTAAGCGCCCGACTTCAACCAGGTCACGATCTCACAGTCCGTGAGTTCGAGCCCCGCGTCAGGCTCTGGGCTGATGGCTCGGAGCCTGGAGCCTGTTTCCGATTCTGTGTCTCCCTCTCTCTCTGCCCCTCCCCCGTTCATGCTCTGTCTCTCTCTGTCCCAAAAATAAATAAAAAACGTTGAAAAAAAAAAATTTTAAAAAATTGTGGTTAAATACACACAGCACAAAATTTACCATTTTGACCATTTTTAAGTACGCAGTTCAGTGTTTATACCATTTTTATTGATATCAAACTCATTTTTCCCTTAGTGTTGATGGCTCATATAAAGCTCTCTGATTGTACAGCTGCAATCCCCTTCAAGCCTCCATGAGCATTCATTTTATTCTATGACACAGTATCCAGAACTTCCAGATCACACAGCACTGTTTACTTACTTAGAGTTCATGGTTAGCAAATTTTGAGCTGCCTCGTATACCACACATATTCATATCAACCCATTAAAAAACCTGATCCGGTGGGTCGAGCTCAAAAATGAACCAAATGCCCTAAAAACTGAATGAGAGAATTCATTTTCCTAAAACCTGAATTAGGGAATAATCAGACCATGTTATTTCAGATTAGGGCTGGAATATATATAGCTGAAAATCTTATGTCTTTCCAAAAAAGACAGACCTGTTTGGTGGAGTAGTATACGGTAGGAAGATTTACACTCGCTGGGAAATCCATGGTTCTTTGGTTAGAAGTGTGGTACTTCAGAAACCATTTGGACAGAAAGACAATGAAAAGGAAAGAGTGGCAATATCAGTGTGGGACCCCAGGACAGATCTGAATATCCTGCTCCTAGAGTAGATCATAACACTGGAACACACAGTGTCTTGAAAGATGAGAGAGTCTCACAAGATGACCTGACTAGGTCGAAATGGGAGACGAACGACTCCTGGGCAGAGTGAACAGCATGAACAAAGACAGTGCAGGAAAGATGGTAAGGGTGGGTACACATGTAATACATATGTACAAGGATGGAAGTAAGAAGCAGAAGGAAGCCGAAATCCTCAGTTTCCTCTGAAAGAGGAGGCCAGACTATTGGCTACAGAAAGTATGGTGTAGCTTGGGAACACACGTGGGTGAGAATTTGGAATGGAAAGGATGGTAAGCAAAGACATATACAGAGGTTGCCCTAGTAGCACTAAGGATAACACTTATATTTAAAGTGGAGGAATAAAGAAAAGCTACTCAAGGAATATTAAGGTGAATCTGAAATGAGGAATGACTTCTATCTCTATATCTCCAAATGTCATTGGTTGGACACTATTAATATACTTTTGGGGTTCTTTAAATGGCATAAAGGGTCCTGGAATTTGGACACATGATCGGAAGCTAAATAAAATCATTATAATGTTCAGGATACTAGATATTTATAAAGTAACCACTCCAATAGATAATTTGAAATTGTGTTGCAAAGAGATTAAGGTACTGCTCCTTCCTGGAGTGTTCTACTTCCTGTCTCTGTCAAGACTCCAGCCCTTCAAAACACTCAGCTAATCCTGTCTTCTTTATAGGCCCCTCCAGATGGTTACTTTTTTCTTCCTCTTCGAATGCTACAGTAAGTAGTCACTTTCTTTCAGCATTTACCTTATGTTGTTTTTATACTTGTCTTGCTTTCCCCTTGGTCAACTCCTTGCAAAGGAGCCTGGGTTACCTTCTGTCCCCACTGCAGAGCCCTGCAGGTGCCTTTATCAAAAAGATGCTCAAACATATCTGTGGGACTGAATTTGAGAACTGAATCACCAGAATCTGACCCCAGGAGGGTCCCATCAGGGTGCAAATACTTGGGAAGGTTTAATATGAAACATTCTGCACCTCCGTCTCTCCCCCGTTTTAACTGCAACTATTTTTTTTTTAATTTTAATAATCTATTTTTTAATGTATTTTTTTTACATTTATTTATTTTTGATAGAGAGAGACAGAGAACAGTGGGGGAGGGGCAGAGAGAGAGGGAGACACAGAATCCAAAGCAGGCTCTAGGCTCTGAGCTGTCAGCACAGAGCCTGACGCGGGGCTCAAACTCAAAAACTGCGAGATGATGAACTGAGCTGAAGTCGGACACTCAACCGACTGAGCCACCCAGGCGCCCCAATAATCTATTTATTTTTAAATTTATATCCAAGTTAGTTAGCATATAGTGCAACAATGATTTCAGGAGTAGATTCCTTAATGCCCCTTACCCATTTAGCCCATGCTCCCCCCCACAACCCCTCCAGCAACCCTGTTTGTGCTCTGTATTTAAGAGTCTCTTATGTTTTGTCCCTCTCCCTGTTTTTATATTATTTTCGCTTCCCTTCCCATATGTTCACCTGTTTTGTATCTTAAAGTCATCATATGAGTGAAGTCATGAGATATATGTCTTTTCTCTGACTAATTTCACTTAGCATAATCACTGCAACTATCTTTAAGAAAATTGTCCTTGGGGCGCCTGGGTGGCGCAGTCGGTTAAGCGTCCGACTTCAGCCAGGTCACGATCTCGCGGTCCGTGAGTTCGAGCCCCGCGTCGGGCTCTGGGCTGATGGCTCGGAGCCTGGAGCCTGTTTCCGATTCTGTGTCTCCCTCTCTCTGCCCCTCCCCCATTCATGCTCTGTCTCTCTCTGTCCCAAAAATAAATAAACGTTGAAAAAAAAATTTTTTAAAAAGAAAATTGTCCTTTGTAAAGAAAATCTGTCCGTTGTACTATCACCTTACTCTAAGGGTAATATCACTAGATTCTCAATCAAAAGAGACAGAAGGTTAGAATTGATGCCAAATATGCAAGGAAAGTGACACACAAAAAAATCAATCAAACTAAAATAATCACTTACCTTGATAAACCATGAGTCGTGATATTGTCCTCAAGTGGTGTATTCAGTACCAAATAGTGTTTCACTGTATCATAAGTGGTTAAATCTGGCAATTAAAAAGAAAAAGAAGGCTGGGATATTCATTCATTGGACAACAAATGTCTTTCATGTTGTGAATATGTTAGGCTGGGGGCGGGAATGAAAGACACCATTATTGTTCTCAAGCAGAGGAAAGCAAGCCACAGATGGAGGGGGAGGAGAAAGGAAGAGAGACAGACACTCAATTATATCGTTTGAACATCTGAATCCAGCTAGGCATAAAGTGAGCTCAACTGGTGGCCTTTCTCAGTATTTGAGCTGATAAATTCCTTTTTTTAATCCTAATTTAAGTTGAGTTGCAATTCTGTCACTTATAATAAAAGGTCCTGACTATTACTCTCTGTTAAGCTTTTTATGTTTTTTTTTTTTTTCTTTCCCAATGACAATGCAGAGCTGTTAAGGAGCTTTAAACAGGGCAGTGGTATCTCATAACACTGGAGTCTTATAAAGATTACCTACAGTGAAGCACAGGGAAGTGAACTGTAAAGAGGCAAGAATGGATAGATGCATTTGATCATTCACTAGATGTGTGAGCATCTACCATGCGGTAGGCATTATTCTAGACGCTGGGGAAAAGAGCCGTGGACAAACCGAACAAAATTCTCATTCTTTGTTGAGGGATGAACAATGAACAAAGAAGTAAACCATATGGCATTTCAGATACAAATAACCAATAAGGCAAAGCAAGGGGGATAAGACGACCAGAGGGTGGAGAAGAAGAATGTATATCAATTTTAAAGATGGTGATCAGAGAAGGCTTCTTAATAACATCTGAGCAGCAGCCTAAAGAAAACATGAGAAAACAGACCTTGGAGATAATCTAAGAGAAAGTGTTCCAGGAAAAACAACAGTATGCATTATATCCCCGAGGTGACAGTCAGCTTCGTGTGTTAGAGGAACAGCAAGAATACTGGTCTAACAGGAGCAAGTGTCAGAGAAGTACGAGTCCAGAGATGGAGAGCAACAGAAGCCAAGGGAGGGTTTTGAGCAGAGCAGTGAACTGATTCTTTACAAGGAGTACTCTGCTTATTTGGCTGTGAGGAGACTATAGGGAGACAAGGCAGATGAGACATGAGACGATTGCATTTATTCTGGGAAGAGATGATGATGGTTTGGACAAGGGAGTTGTGGAGTGCTGGTCAGATTCAGGACAAGTTTTAAAGGCAGAATCAACAGGATTAGCCAGCAGACTGTATAGAGAGCGAAAGAAAGGGATCAAAGAGGACTATAACATTTTGGGCTTAAACACTCTGTCAGCAGGGCTGACATTTTTGGAGATGGTGAAAATGAGAACTGGCCAATTTAAAATGTTTTAAGTAAGATGATGGATTGGTGACCTTGATGGGAGCACTTTCAGATGCAAGGTGGCACACAATGGCTGTAGGGTGGGTATGGGGAGACCAGTTTGGAGGCTTTTGTAGTGATCCAGTAAGGGAAGATAAATTATAGTTGGACAAAGGAGTGGCTCCTTGGACAAGAAGAAGTAGGTGGATGTGAGATTTAGCTAGGAGACAGAAGTGGCTGGACTTGAAGTGAAAGGAAAGAAACAAAAATCATGCTTAGGTTTCTGTGTTGGTCAGATGAGAAGATGATTTTATCATATTCTGAGATTGGGAAGAATGGAGAAGGAAGTGGTTTGATAATGAGTGTGGTTTGGACACAAAGCAATGTATTTGAGAAAACCTAAGCGAACATTCTGAGTAAATAACTGGGAACCTAGGAGAGGAATCTGAGCTACAGGAGATTTTGAAGCATCGAATTGAGAAACTACAATCAGACAAGATTCCTGATAACCAAAATATCCACAAGTATGATACAGTAGACATGGATGGACTGAAATGGCAAAATAATAATAATAAAAAAACAGATTTGCTTTCTTTGAGGTTTATGTGATATGTTCCTACACCCCTCAAAAAGGCTATCTGTTAATTTCCTAGAATCATATAATTTTGGTCTTAGAAATGGTTCTTTCATTCATTAATTCATTCATCAACTGTTTAGTGACTACATGTAAGGGACTAGGAAAATAATGATAAATAAAACATGGTCCTTGCCTTCAGAGAACTCATAATCTAGTGGAGATGAACATATACTAGAAAGCAATGGAATGAGGTACAAGCAATAACAGATAAGCACCGGGAACTTCAGAAACACATGAAAGGACATCTAACACAACATGGCTAGGGCAGGGTGGTTGTGGGGTTCAGGAAAATTACATGGTGGAGAGACACTTCAGCTGGTGCTAAGTGATCTGCAGGAGGAAACTAGATAGAAGAAGAGAGGGAAGAACAAAGTATGAGGTGAAGAACAGTGTGATACGTGTAGGCAGTGGAACCTTCTAGTTTGTGACTCTCTACTTCATTCTTTACCCCTCCATCAATGAATTGCTCAATTCCCCGAAGCACCAGTTGGATTGTGCAGACTTTCTGTGTTATGTGATGAAATTTCCACTTTGTTCTGTGAGGGATGAGAAGCCAGTGAAGGGTTTTAAGGGTCCCAGTACCATGTTCAGATGTGTATTTTAGATAAATCCCTCTGGGTATTGGGTACAAATAATGAGGACAAAGAATGACATCTGCTGGATGGCTGTGTCAGTGCTCTAGCTATGTGGCTTTGATGGTGAGTATTGTAAAAATGGTGGTTTTAAGGACACTATGATGTTATGTATTGGGGGGGGACACTTTTAAGAAATATTTAGAAGACAGAAGCAATTAGTGACTGAATATCAAAGGGGAGGGACAGGATGAGTTAAGGAAATGTTCAGGCTTCCAGCCTGGGGTGCCTGGCTGCACAAGCTGGGTTATACAGCAGTAGGAGCAGGGTTACTGGGGGAACGATTATTTAGTCTTAATATCCTTATTGTCACAATTTGCTTGTTTTAGGAAATCCTTTTCATAGATCACCATGGAGAAAAGTAAAAATGCTCTAGGGAAAATATTCAATTAAAATATTAACAACATAAAATAAGACTGTTGCCAATATACATTACTAAAACTAATAAAAAAAATTTCATTTTCCCCAATGTAAGTGCTTAACCTTACGGTGATCAAGGCAGTATGACTTCTCAGAATTCAATAAAGTTTCCATTACCTCCCATATTCACCAGTGCTGCTCTTTGTATATTGGGTACCCAGCCTGCCCAAAGCCCACGTATTCCTCCTTCAGATAAGATTTTTGCAAATGCATGATGCACACCACGAAATCTAAAGGAAAAATAATAATTAAATATGAAAATTCTATGCATTTCTGTGCATGGAATGCAGCTGGATAAGCTTTGCCTATAGCTGTTATGATTTGGAGTAAAATAACATCTTAATTATCCAGAATTGTTAGAAATTAAAGCAATCCATATAAGTCAATTTCCAAAAAAAACTTTTTTTTTAGGGAAAAAAAGCTGACATTTGACTTAAACATTTTTTTACTCAAGTCTTTATCAACTCTCATCCTCTTCTCAGATTATTAAGCAGGTTAAAATTCCTTTCTTGATATTTAGCCATCAATGCACATATTAAATCCAGGAGGGAAGCTATCAAATGTCTGGGTTCATTTTACTAGTACTACGTGAGACCTGCAAATTTTGTAATTTCACCAAATAATGTTACAAAATCAATCCCCAAATATTCTCAGAAAGGAAATGACATTTTTAGCCCAAAGAGTAGGGAGGGTAATGTCATAATAAGAGTTCTTAAAATTGAGTACTTATGGCTTTATAAAAATTTACTATCCTATCCTGATTTTGCTCTTGTTTATGGTACACAAGTAAAAAATGAGGCTGAACCATGAATCAAATCTGGAAACCTCTGTTATAAAATAAAAGTCTGGGTTTTATATAGTCAGAAATACCTGGAGTTCCATGCCTCCTTTACCATTACTAGCTGAGTGGCTTTTCTTAGGCATTACATTCCCTAAGTCTCAGCAAAAAGATAGTATGACATGTTTACTGGGCATGCGTAATGGCTCTTATGCTACATGGGAAGTGATACTCACAAATGATGGCCCTTGTAGCTAAAATCTGTTGTGCACTTACTAAGCACAAGACTTTTTATATACATAAGATAAATTTTATTCCTGAAAACTCTATGGAATATGTATTAATATTTCAATTTCCATCTGAGGAAACTGAGGCTCAGAGAGGTTAAGGAACTTGATTAGGGTTGGAGCTAAAAGGTGGCAAAGGCTGGATATGAATCCCAGGATGTGTGACCCCAAGGTTGATGTTCTGTACATGAAATGTTTTACTACTACATCAAACCAAAAATTTCCAACAGTGGAGACAAGGGGGAAAAATTGAGGAGATTAGTTAAAAAGTCAGATTTTTCTGGATCCCAATAATTCTCTCCATATATCCAACCATGGCAACATAGCTGTGCCCTGCTACTTAGTAATTAACTCAAAGTGGTTACAAGACAATCAAATGGGCCCTGGGATTCTGTAAACTGCTCGGTTAAGTCAGAGTGGTACCCTTTTGTCCTCTGTGGTGGGTGTCCTCTCTCTGTTTGCAGAGCTCAAGGGGGATGTGGACTGCCAAGCCCAACCTCATTTTTCACGGAGCCAGCTGGAGGAGGGGCTGAATGGAGAGCAGTGGTCAGTGGTGGGCTCTTGAAGGGGCCGCCAAAGCCTCCTTCCCCTCTGGCCCAGTCACAGACCTGCAGTGTTCAGAGGAGCAGACCTCTTTGTACTCAGTCCAAGGCATCCTGCACTTTTCCTCTTTTCTGAGAGAGGTCTATCAATCTCTAAGGTTTTGCCCTTTTTCCAGGGAAACAGTCCAAGTGGTGTTTTCATCAATTATTTAACATAAAACCTTTGAAGAAAGGCAGACTTCAATAATGTAGAGTAATGCCATAGGAGAATTTTATATCACAAAGTCAAAATGAAAACCTTCCTTCAACTTGGGGAAAAGAGACGGAACAGAATTAGGGAAGTGGAAAGAACTTGCAAGGTCAGTCTTGCTATTTCCCTTCTTTCAGGGAGAAAGGGAATGACACCTAGCTTTTAGACATGGCTGAGCCAGGCAATCTGTCATGCAAACCTTCTGAGATTAACCTTTTCAAAGATGAGAAAACAGAGACGAGGAGTGCTAAGTGACCTCCACAGCACTAACCCATAATGGCAAAACTGGGATTCACACTAGGGCAAATTTTAGTGATCAGACGCTATATCAAAAGCTGTAGCAGGAGACAAGTCTAGCTGAGTTGGCTGGGAAAAGCAGCTAAGAGCTACGCACGCATAGAATTTGTCTGGTACAGAACACGTGCACCTTAACATGCAAAGCAATGATCCATGTTAGCTCTCCTCTTAATGAAGGTATCTTCCAAGCTGAAAAAGTCAGAATTAATGTCTCTACTGCACAGTGGATTGCAAAAATGCATAAATCATTAGGTAAGTGTTCAAAGTATGATGGGGGAGAGGAAAGGTATCAGTTAACTGGAGAACTTACCGCAAAGGCTTCCCTTCAAGTTTCCTTTTTCCTTCCATTTGCATCTGAACCTTCACTAGATCAGTTGGGTTGGCTAAAAATTGGCCAACAACACCAGCCATCATACCTCCAATCACTGACTTCCTAATTATGAAAGGAGATACATTTTCAATAGTTTCTATGAATTTCACAAATTTTGTAGTGAACAGCACCACGCTGGTACAGCCCCCGCATAGGGGACTTCAGACAAAGTGCAGAAAAGGATAGACCCAAACAAATCACAGGGGAAGGCAGATGGTTTGTCTGTTTACTGAAGGGAGGGTTAAAGGACTAGAAGGAGTTGAAATTCAAATCTGGTTTCAGGGGCCTTCCATAGCCTGAAATTCAAAGGAAGGGCAGTTGCTTCAAAGACATAAATACGTGAACTGACCATTTAATTGTTGCTTAATTCTGACCACAGGGAAATAAAAAGAGCGCAGATGTAATCAGTCTAACAGACAGAAGCTGGTCAAATTTTGTAAACTACTATTTTAGTAGTTGCAAAATAAAAGGGGTTTGAAAACTTTCCTCTCTTTGAAGAAGCTCTCTCTGTCCCTAGACTTTCTTCTCCTCACCTCCCAAAGCCAATAGCGATCATGTCTAGACTACTGCACTTAAACATGCTTTACCTTTTCTTAGGAGACAGGGGGTATTTTCTTTCCTTTTACTCTAAAACAATATTAGAAGAGGTACAAATGGGTATAGAGTAAAAAGGGTCCCTATCACCAGTTCCCCTCCTCTGAAATAATCACAATTGCTAGTTTCTTAGGGTGTCCTGGACATAACAGTAATGCATTCACTGAATGCTTATTATGTCAGGCACTGTTCTAAGTATTTTTAAAAACATCATTTCATTCTTATGTCAAACCTATGATATTAGTACAGCTGTTACGTTCTCTTCACAGATAAGGAAACTTGAGACATAAAAGCAGTTAAATGATAACTCAAATCACACAACTAGTAATCAAAGAAATTAATTAAAATTATCTTTTAGCCATTACATTAAGCTATTAATGGGAATATAAGTTATTATATTATATATTATATATAAGTGAGTGGAACAGCCAAGATATAATGCCAGGAAGTCTGAGTGCAGACCACCCAGTCTTTTTTTTTTTTTTATGTTTATTTATTTTTGAGAGAGAGAGAGAGACAGACAGACAGACACAGAGTGCAAGCAGGGAAGGGACAAGAGGGGGGCGGGGGACACAGAATCCAAAGCGGCTCCAGGCTCTGAGCTGTCAGCACAGAGCCTGATGTGGGGCTTGAATCCATGAACTGTGAGATCATGACCTGAGCTGAAGTAGGACACTTAACCGACTGAGCCACCCAGGAGCCCCTGGACCACAGAGTCTTAAGCACTAAGTTACAACTGACAGTGCACACACAAACATGTATGTATAAATACTCCTATTTAAAGGCATAAATGTAGAATGCCAGGCTGTATGCTGTTTCACACTTTGATTTTTCCCTAATAATATCTTTTAAGATACATTTTTCCTAATACTGTATCTCAAATGTTATCAATTCATACAGAGCTGCCTCGTTTAAAAAGATTGTTTCATAGCATCCCACTTTATGGACACACCACAATTTATTTAAACGGTGTAATGTTCAAAAAATTTGAAGATTTACAGGACGTTTGATAGGCCCTGCCGAATTATCTTCCATAGACTTTGTATCAATCTCCAGTGCCACCAGTGGCCTACCAGAGCGCCTGGTTCTCACGATCATGAACATGGCACACCATAATTGTCTTTCTCTGTGAGAATCTCATAACCATGGCCTCCTTGGTAATTGTGACATAATTATAATTCTTTAGGCATCTGTCTCTATTACTGTGTGCTCAGTGATGGCAGGGACTGTATCTTTTTCATTACGATAGCCTCAGTATTAAATACAGAACTGGCATGCCATGATCATTCAATAAATACTTACTGACTGAATTAATTGTTCGGACTGGGTCAAAGGACATCAAACCCATCCACCCTGAGAGGTGACTTCATGGTGAAATATTTCCTTTGAACCCCTTATCTACATCTTTCTCTGCTGGGGGTTGGATTACAAAATGCAAGGACTATTAATCTATTCTATCACTAGTTCTGGGAAAGCAATTAGTGTAACTTAGTACATTACACTTTTTAAAAAACAGAGCCAACAGATTTCATCTGGAAGGTGAAATTCTGCTTATTGCCCTTTCCTTACAGTTGTGACTTCGACTTTTTTTTTAGGCCAGGAAAGATATTATTACAGACATCATTATTGGTTAGTCATATAAAACCTACCTCAGTCTTTCAAAGCTCTGCATTATGCTTTTCTGAATAAATATATCAAAATTTACCCACTTCCCAATTGATATTTACTTTTTTTATTATTTTATTTTTTTTAGATTTTTTTTAACGTTTATTTATTATTACTGAGAGACAGAGAGACACAGAGCGTAGCAGGGGAGGGGTAGAGAGAGGGGAAGAACAGAATCTGAAGTAGGCTCCAGATTCTGAGCTGTCAGCACAGAGCCTAACACGGGGCTTGAACTCAGAAACTGCGAGATCAAGACCTGAGCCGAAGTTGGTCGTCTAACCAACTGAGCCACCTGGGTGCCCCGATATTTACTTTTTTAAAAAAATTACTAAATGGGTGATGGGCATTAAGGAGGGCACTTCTTGGAATGAGCACTGGGTGCTATATGTAAACGATGAGTCACTAAATTCTACTCCTGCAATCAACGCTACACTATATGTTAACTAACTTGAATTTAAAATTTAAAAATATATCTAATTAAAAAAAGAAAAAAATACTATTATCAACACTGCTACAGTCGATATCTTTGTGTGTGTGTGTGTTTATGCATTGGTACAAGTATTTCTGAATGTGATTATATCATAAAGGAAGAGTTGCTGGGTCAAAGGATTACACATTTAAACATTTTAACAGAAATTTTATTCTCAAAAAAAAAAGCTCTCTAATAACTTATATTCCCATTAATAGCTTAATGTAATGGCTAAAAGATAATTTTGATTAATTGCTTTGATTACTGGTGAGGTTGAACACTTTACATGTTTAACAAACACATAGTTTTCCCTTTGTGAATTTTGCCTGTTGATATCCTTTCCCTATTTTTCTTTGTGTTTTTATGTTTTTAATTTATTTATATTTAATTTATTTATAATAACCTATTTTTCTGTTTCTGTTATAAACACTCTAAGTGATATGCACTTACATACATTATCTCATCTAATCGTACAAACACAAAAGCCTGATGGTAGGTATTAGTTCTACAGCTAAGAAAACTGAAGATAAAAACGATCAAGTAATTTAATCAGCTTATATATATACTAGTAGAGCAGGAATTTTTGAGCCTCTCTCTGTCTGACTCGAAAGCTCTTTTCTCAGTAGAAAGAGGCATAAAGGAGGTGCTCTGTAAGAGTTCTTTTAACATTAAAATATTATATAATATGTATAAAACCTTAATATACATATGTACATGTTTGTTTTATGCTGTATGCAGTAAACGCTCAATTACTTGAATTTACATTGTAATTATTCTTTATTTTAAGCCTATGACAAGGCAGTTGTGGCATAAATGTACAATTTTATATGTATCTGATGGGTAAACATGAAAGCCTCGGGGGCAAGAGCACATACTATTTTCAAAACAAAACTTACCAAAGAGGATAATGCTTATCTTCACTTTTGCCAAACACAACTTCACGGAGATGTTCATAAGTGACCATGCGCCCTCCAGAGTACACTGTATAAAACAGATCATTTAAAACGTGAATTCGGCTACATGTTTAATAAGACAAGAGGACATTTTGACCTGAGCTAGTGGATCTCTTTAGCTGTGTCTTTCCCTCATGCGCCCTATGCTTCAAACACGTGGGTTTTTCTTGATGTTGCTCTAAATGTGGCATGCATCAAGCCTCAGGCCTTCTCACAGGCTGGTTGATCTTTCTTGAATGGATTCTCCCTTCTCTGCTTTGCTAACTCCTCCTAGTCCTCCAAGATTCAATTCAAAGAACATGTTGTCTAAAAAGTGCTCTGTTCTAGACTGCCGTTGCATCTGCCATGCTTCTCCTCTGTTCTCCCAGAACTACCCAGGCATACATCTAATAGGACTTTTATCACATTAATTGGAGATTAACTTGGCTTTGTTGCTTATCTTTCCATCAGACCGTGAGCTTTTCAGGGCAGGCTTTGTGTGTTTTCATTATTCTGTGTGCCCTCTCAAGGACAGAGCTTGGTATACAGCAGGGATTTTCCTTGAACAAACATGCATAACTTCATCAGATGACTTATTATATTAAGGTAATTTTTCAGTCAAGTATCAAACATATGACATGAACCTTAACTGGAAAGCCATATATGATGATCCACAAAATACAAATGAAAAGAAATCAGAACAATCATGGGAAGCAAAGGAGAAAATTAAAAAAAAAAAGAATGGAAAATAAAAATCATTAAAATCAGTACATGGTATTCACAGAGAGCACTTTTCGTGATATTTCAGGAAGTCTGATCAAGGGTTTTAATGTATGCAAAAATATACGAAGCACCAAAACACCAACAGTCTCTGTATATACTTCTGGATAGCTCTTGAAGAATACACTCTTAACTTACTCATCTGAAGAACTGAAACTTTAAAAATAATAAGCTGGTGAATATTAAGTCTGGACACTTTTCTGGTCAAAGGTCCCTACATATTTGAGGAAATATGAATGTAGAGGAGTAAAATGCCATGTCTGTCCTACCTCCTTTGAAACCATGTTTTACGTTCTCCCGTCCACAAGCTGAAAACCCAACAACTATTATGTTTGTGAGTGCCACTTTAGAAGCAGGGCAGAAAAGCATCTTCACTGGCTATGACATAGTTACAACTATTTTCCTTGAAGAATGACTGAAGGCCCACACAGGTAGTTAGGTAGCCTTGGAAACTGAGGCAAAAATCAGCTGCACTGCAATTACTCCATTGCCAGAATAGGATTAGTCATCCTTGTTTTCTTTCAGAGTTACCTAGTCTGTAACATATGTGACAGAGACTAGCAAGATTTGGCATTTAAGTCAAATAAGTTTTAATTTGCAAAGAACACGAAAAATTTAAATTTTGTGTTTTAAAGTTTCCAAAGTAGAGAAATGTATCGATTATTCATTTCTTTTCTTAAAAATCTTCAAATGTGGGGTGCCTGGGTAGCTCGGTCAGTTAAGTGTCTGACTTCGGCTCAGGTCATGATCTCGCGGTTCGAGCCCTACCATGGGCTCTGTGCTGACAACTCAGAGCCTGAAGCCTGTTTCAGATTCTGTGTCTCCCTCTCTCTGCCCCTCTCCTCTTCATGCTCTCTCTCTCTCAAAAATAAATAAACATTAAAAACATCTCAAACATGTAGAAGAAGTAGAGAAAATAACTCCCTCTATATCCTTGAGATTGATCAATTGCTAACATTTTTGCCATATTTGACTCATTTTTTTCTTTCTTTTTTTAAATTTTATTTTTTATTTTTTAAAATTTATATCCAAATTCGTTAGCATCTAGTGCAACAATGATTTCAGGAGTAGATTCCTTAGTGCCCCTTACCTATTTAGCCCATCCCCTCCCGTAACCCTCAGTTTGTTCTCCATATTTATGGCTCAGTTTTTTCTTAAAGTCCATTACAGACATCATGACAGTTCATCCCTAAATGCTTGTATGTGCATTTCTAAAAATTTAAGGTGATTGTTCCTTAATTGCCTTAAATTGGTAGTCAATTTTCTTCTTAAGAGAATATGTATTCATTTATCACATTGATAGGAAAAAAGCTACTGGTTTTTGGACACGGCTAAACACAAAAGCAGAGGACACAAACACAGCACTCATAACAAACTTACCAGATGGAATCAAGATAAATACCTACGTGTCTGTAAATGGCAGGTGTCACTCCTTGCCAAAGCTTTAGGAAGCCTTCTTCTTGAACAATCCCTAGGGCTGTGCGCACCATGCCCCTATAGGGAGCCGACTCTCTTGCACTGTCTCCCAACCGAGCAAGAGCCGCTTCTCCTTGCATTTGGAGTCGAGTTTTTGTGAGATCGAGGGGAAAGGTTGCTAACAAAGAAAAACAAAATGAGGGGGAAACCCGCAACATTCAGAGAAACCAACAAAAATTCTAAAATTCTAAAGTCATAGGTCTAATATTTTAGTCACTACAAGATGGGCGGTTCTCAAATTTTGGAGTACATCAGAATCAGCTGGGGAAATTGTGAAAAAGTATTTATTTCCCAGCCCCATGTTTATGGATTCTCAGTAGGTTGATGGGGGTTTAGAAATCAGCTGATTCTTATGCACTCCCAAATTTAAGAATCATTGTCCCAGATTACCCCCCAGATCACCGGGGGTGGGGGGTAAGTGACAGGATTTGGGCTTTTTTTACTCAGAAATTTCAGCCTAAAATATACTTCAGTCCTTAATTTTTGCTTTCCCATAGGAATAACTTCAAATATTCATAGTCTGTGATGTCCCCTTGACTGCAACCATGATTAGGACACAATGTGACTTTTAGAATACTATACTACTTATGACAGGTTCCTAATAAATGCGGGTGAGCTGAATTCTATAATTTCATGGGTGATGCTCACTGACCCCAAGTTTGAGATATGGAAGATGTAATACAGAGTTTATAATGTTGTCTTTTTATACAAGGGCAGCATGCTCAATATATTTTCGATTAAGGCACATACTGAATCGTTTTTCCAGCACTAAGTTTTATGTATGGCCTCCTCACAAGTACCCACTGTAATTGAAAACAATTTTTCTAATAATTATATTTTGAATTCAAGCTAGACATTTTACCTTGAAACGATGAAGCTAACTGGCCCACATTAGGAAGATCAAGCTCATAACTTTATAGGTATAATGTCTTGAATAACTTAACCAGATTCAGAGAAGCTCATGCACATTATTGACATTACATGAGTCTTTTCAATGACCACCGCCTGACACAAAACCATAGTTACGCTTTTTCTAAGAGAAGACAGTAGGGGGGAAGGGAATATTAAATCTTACCACTGGTCTTTGGAAAAAATATCTTGCTGATAGTTCCCCTAAAACAGAAGTCGTTTGCATGAAGAGAATTTAAGCCATGCTTTCTTAACATATGAGCCCCGAAAAGTCTTATGATATAGGCACGTCTATACCATGTGCCTCTCAAAATAATTTTCGTTTACTTGCTGGTTACTTAAATAACGCTTCAGGTTCCGATCCTAAATTGTTTTGTACTCAAACCATCTCATACTCTGATTTCCCCACCTCTCATGCCCAGCCCCCACACCATTCTCCACAAATTTTTAAGAAAAGGGTTCTGTGCCAAAGCCATTGGTCACAGGGGGAAACTATCAAGTTAAAAAACAAACCAGCAAACAAACGAAGTGCCAATACCTAATTCAGCAATCTGATTTTGCATGTTTTAAAAAGCCGATGAAGTGTGTCTCAGTAAAAGCAATGAATAACAAAAATTTCCCATCAGCTTTAGAAAAGAATGAAGAAAACATAGAGGGTCCAAAGGGCAAGAGTGGAGGAGCATAAAGGGCAAAACAACAGACGGTGCTGGCTCTGCAGGAAATACAAAATAATACAAACAGTCATTTCACAAGAGGACAAACTACCATTGCTTAATGGTAACACATCAAAGCTGTTGTTCCCCCCTCCCCCCGCAACAGGCAAGAAAATGAAAGGGTATTCTTAAAATGCACAGAGAAGGCTTCAGAGGGAACACATGGGCACTCCGCTTACAAAATCCTTGGAAAGAACGCCACCTGCTCATGCAAGGGCATCCGAATTCTCTCCAGGTGGTCTGGAGTTTTCTCTGACTTGCTTATGCATATGTAACTGTCCATCTTCTACGCTCTTATGGTACTTGATATCTTCATTATTAATAATTAGCACAATGGAACTGTCTGTCTCTGCATGTGTCCCCACCCGCCTGTAAGGTCAGGGTTGAGTCTTTTAAGCTCTATTACCACAGTCCAGTATTGTAGCTATTATGATAATGTTGCAATTAATAAGTGCCCCGCTTTGGACTTAGCATTTGACTTCTCAGAATCCTGCAAGGTAAACACAGTATAGATGAGCTAAGCTCAAGGAGGACAACTGACGGATGTTGAGTAGACGATCCGTAAGTGACAGGTTAATAACGTAAGTCCCACAAGTTGGTTCCACAACTTGGACCCAAAAGACAATGATCTAGTGAAGCTATGTAAGAATATGAATCAGATGATCTCAGTAAGGATGAAAAGTGGATTGTGTTTTTATTAGAAGGTCATCCTCGCGGAAGGGAAAAGGATTCCTACAGAGGAATGACCGCTCATGAAGCTTCCAAGAGTAGACACTCAGGCACAATGGCACACCTCTGAGGGAGACGAAATTGTTAGGAAAAGACCTTGGTGACCTCTAGTCCTCCTCGCAAGGCCGGCCTTGCCCCCGCCCTGCCACATCTGCCAGGCAGGTGTGCAAGAAGAGGGCGCAACCCAGCCGGCCGAACACCCCCGTGCCCCTCACCCCCACCCCCAGCGCGGCACCTCGACGACTCGCGGGGGAGGCCCAGGCGGGGGCGGCCGGGTACCTAGCTCGGCCACGGTAGCCGCGCAGCCCGACAGAAGGAACTTGCTCGCCCGGGGCCATCTCTGGGCGAGCGGCAAAAGCCTCTCCTCATCCTCTGGAACCGACATTCAGCAGCAAGACAGGACGACAATGCACCCCTTCTGGCCGGCGCCCCGCGCCGCGGCTGGCCTGCCCCTCTGCCAGGGCGGCCCGTCCTCAAGCGGCGAGCGGAGGGCCGGGGACCATTTCCCTCGCTCGGCTCAGTCAGGCGGCCCCGCGAACCTGCAGCCTTCCTAGCAGCCCCGGCTGCAGCGGTCCACGGGACTGAGAGCAGAACAACAACGCGAAGCGCACGAGGCTTCTGGGAAATGTAGTCCGCCGGGCTGCGCGCCTCTTGGGCGCCATTCTCCAATTGGCCGGGAGCGAAGCTCCCTCCGCGCCGCCGGCCCCGGTCTCCATGGCAACGGCGCAAGTTCGCCCCGCCCGCCACCCCGCCTCACCCGCGCCCGTTCGGTCCAGCCCCAGCGTTTGGTCCGGAGTGGCCAGGGCAGGAAAGACAAGTGGAGGTGGGAGGAGGGAGCGATGCTGCAAAAGTCATCTAAAAATTGGGGCGGGGAAAAGAGGCTACAGTTTAGAAGGCAGACAAACTGCGGAAGTTGTAGCAGACAAGTTGGCAGGTCCAGTAGGTGCACCCTTCCAAGAGGGAATGAGCAAGTGCCACGGCGGCAGGATTTTTACCTTCTCTGATTGTGGAAGGCGCTAGACAAAAACATGGAACTAATTTCCCCAACAGTGATTATAATCCTGGGTTTCCTTGCTCTTTTATTATTCTTTCAGCGGAAGAATTTGCGTGGACCCCCGTGCATAAGGGGCTGGATTCCTTGGATTGGAGCTGGATTTGAGTTTGGGAAAGCCCCTCTAGAATTTATAGAGAAAGCAAGAATCAAGGTATGTGGCCTTAGCAGGTGGGGTTTGCGGAGGAGGTAATGTTTTCTTTTTTATTTTCTTTCCCGGGTTCTCAAATGCAATACTAGAATACGGAGAGCATACCTAGATCCACAGATAAAGACGATCATTACTCAACTATTGACAGCTATTCCTTATGCAAGATTTTTCGAAATAGATTTTTATCGATTATGAACAGATTTTTATCAGCTCGTAGCTGCCCTTTTGGAAGTAGATACATAATTTATAAATGCTAGTTACTTCGCCGTAGTTTAAAAGTTCTAAGTGTATACACATTAGCTAACAACTTGGAATAATTCAGAAACACAGAAGTGAAATACAGTTAAATTAAATTTATGAAAACGTGTAGTAAATGCGTGTCCGAACTGAGATTAACACCAGGCCGCTGTAAAAATTGCTTACAAACGGTCTTTTCAAATTTAGCCTGCGCTGTATTTTCAGCTGGTGTTCTTATTTGATGATGATGAGATCCATTTTCACTGCATACTAAGATTAGTAATGTTGTTGTACGAGACGTTTTTGTCCTTAAAATAGCTTTTAAATACAGTGTATCTTTCAAAAACAGGATATAAATTACTGCCAACTTTTCCCCTTTATTGCTACCAGTGCTTCAGGGTGCATTGCTGTATGTGTGTCGTGTGGTTGTGCTGTTGGCACTTATCCAGTTGTTTCCTCAGAATAAATTCCTAAAAGTGGAAGTGCCTAGTCCAGTGACATAAATATTTAAATTGTTTATATTATTGTGTTACCCTTGCAAAAAAAAATGTAACAATATACACCTTTTCCTTTGACTGTTCGGGATTGCCTACCTCCTCATATTCTAGTCCACTCTAGATACCATAATTATTGAGAGCCAGATATAGGAAAAATGATATCTTAAAAGAATGTTTCTTTGTCTCTGGTAGCCTTTCTTAGGCATATGATTTTAATAAATTTTAAGGAACGTTTCACTGGCTTGTCTCAGAAGGTCAAGCAAGGTCAAAAAGATTATTGTTTTCTTCTAAAAGGTGTGTGATTTTGTATTTTACATTTAGGTCTATGATCCATTTTGAGTTATTACTTTTGTGTGTGGGGGGGGTGGTAAGAGTCAGGGGTGAAGTTAATTTTTTTCCCCAATCTGGATGGTCTCGTTGTTCTAATTGTTCCACTCTCCTTTCCTCACTGGTTGCCTTTGCAGCTTCTCAAAAATTAGTTGACCATATACATGTAGATCTATTTCTAACCTTTATATCCTAGTCCATTGATTTATATGCCCACTCCTTTGTTACTAGTACACTGTCTTAAATACTATAGTTTTATAGTAAGTGTTTAAACCAGGCAGTGATAGCCCTCCATATTTCTCTGTAATTGACTTGGCATTCAAGATTCTTTGCATGTTATTATAAGTTTTAGAATTGGCTTGTCAATATGTATCATAAAGACTGCTGGAATTATGATTGGAAGTTTGTTAAATCTATTAGGAAATTAGGGAGAATTGACTTCATAATAATATTAAGTCTTCAAAGCTATGAATACTGTCTATCTCTCCATTTTTTAGCTATATAATTTCTTTCAGAAATATTCTGTAGTTTTTTGTGATGCGATTGTTAGTTATTTTAAGTATTTTATATTTGGAGGCACTCGTGGATAAAATTGCTTTAATTTTTGTTTTCCAGTTGTATCCCGTTGAAACATAAAAAATACAATCTGTTCTCTTTATGTTAACTTTATTCCCTGTGACTTTGCTAAATTCACCCTATTAGTTCTACTAGCTAATTTGGAGATTCCCTAGGATTTTTATACATAAACGATATGTCTTATAAAAAGATAAATGTACTTGCTTTTTTTCTGATCTTTATGCTTTTTGTTTCTTTCTCCTATATTATTACCATCAGTAGGACTTATAACACATTGTTGACTAGAAGTGGTGAGACTAGACAAGCTTGTGTTTTTCCTAATGTTAGCGAAAACACGTTCAGTATCTCACATTTGAGTGTGACGTTAGCAGTAGATTTTTCAAAGGTGCCTATTTCAGTCCTGACCTTCAATCCATACCAAGAATTCACAGATGCCACCAGGGAATTAAATAGTGATTTATTACCTGTTCATCTTTTCCTAACTGCCAGTGAAATCCTTATCTCACCTGGTTCTACCTCATCCTACACCAAAACAGAAGCCTTTGCATTTGTTTTAAAAGCTGCAAAGTATTCCCTAAATTATAGTTTCCTTCAACAGTGACTTAATAATTGACATACAGTAGTTTGTTTCCCATTTGTATGTGTGAAAATGTATCCATAGAATGAATGATCAGATTCAAAGTATAAAAGCATTTATAATTTAGAGTGAAGTAGGAAATCTTTTGAGAGTGTTTTGAGCAGAGGAATGATGGGATTTGATTTAAATCTTAAAGGCTCACTTTGGCTGCTCTGTTAAAAACAGGACTGTAAGAATAAAAGAAGGATAATTTGAAGGTTCTTTGCAGTAATTCAAACTTGAGGTCAAGTGGTTTGGAGATAGCAGTGGAAACTTGAGAAGCGTCTGGGTATATGTTGAGGGTGGAAGCAGCAGGATTTCCTGGTTAATTGCACGTGGTGTGTAGAAGAATGCGAAGGGTCCAAGATGGCTCCAAGAAGTTTGGTTTGAGTAGCTAGGGAATGGGAGTCCAGTGAGATCGCCATGATTGTAAGAACTTACTGAAAGGGAAGATGTTATCAGAAGTGCAGCTTTAGATACATAGGAGTTTGGAATGTTGACATCCAAGTGGAAATGCTGAGTTAAGTAGTTGGATAAATGAATTTGGAGTTGCAAAAGACGTCCCGTGATGCACAGGTTCAACCTCTTTTGCCTGTCTTCTATAGCTATCATTTCCCCTAAAATTCTTTTCACATAATTCTATTTAATATTTTTTGCATTCCTATATTGTATTGTCTTTAGACTATTTCCTATAGTCTCCTTTGTGCTTCTTGTAATTATTATCTTTTATTTAGAAATGTCTTTATTGTTTCTTTCTTTCCTCAGTTCCTTTATCTCCTAATTTTCCTCTATCGTCTGGCTGTTTCTTCCATGGCTTCTTATGTTTCTTCTTTGCTTATTTCTTTCGCAGTTGGCAAAATTATTAGATTAATTTTTTTTTGATTCCAAAAATAATTTTGCATTACAGGTTTTAGGTGCCCTATGGCAGAATGTTTTTGGTGAGTTACTTCATCTGTAAGGAAGTTCTGATGTCCTTTTTTGCCCTTTTTTAAAGAATTTTTCTTACAGTGGTGACGTTTTCCTTTTTTGTTTAACCATATTTTTATTTTTTTTTTTTTACCATTCATTTATTTCTGAGAGACAGAGAGAGACAGAACATGAGCAGGGGAGGGGCAGAGAGAGAGAGAGAGGGAGACAGAATCCGAAGCAGGCTCCAGGCTCCGAGCTATCAGCACAGAGCCCGACGTGGGGCTCGAACCCAAGAACTGTGAGATCATGACCTGAGCCAAAGTCGGATGCCTAAGTTCCTCCATTTAACTGCATTTTAAGGTGTTAAGTTGTCTTGGACCAGCTGTCAGCAGGAGGTTTTGGCTGGGGGCAGTTGCTTTCCAGGTTTCTTGACAGAGCTCTTTTATCCTATCCTCCCTTGCTACAGTGAAAATCTAGTGCCTCTGTGCACCCATGGCTCCTCTGCTTTTTAGGATACAATCTTTCACGCTTGAGCTCTCACTGCCTTTCTTCAATAATGGCTGCTAGGAAAAGAGGTGACCCTTGTCTTCTCAGGTGTACTCTTCGCTTTTACAAGAAAGTGCTTTTGGGAGCCCACTCTCTGTGTTATCTTTTGCTACCTCCCTCAGTATCCGTGGGCTGTTTATCCTAGCCCATCTCATAGTGGTTCCAACTCTGTAGACTTCCTTCTCCTATCTCAGAGTGGGTGTTTCTGGGCTTTTCCATTGTCGAACCCCTTGCACATGCTCCTTGTCTTTCTCATGGTGCTGTGATAGCTTCTAAGAGCAGAGCGAAGAGTTCTACTGGTTTCAAGTGCCGTGGGTCATGCTTCTTGTAGTTAGTAAATTTTCTTCTTGTTGTCTAGCTCAATAATGTTGCACATATGTTTTTCTCCTTGTGGCTCTGTGTGGTTTCCAAGAAAGAGGTAGAACAATTCAGAAACACGTCGCTGTGACATCACCACCAGAATTGAAAGGCTGTGTGCTTCTTTAAAGAAATGTGTGTGTTTTTTTCAAATAGGTCCATACTCTAAAGGCATGAACATATATACAATGAAAGGTCTTCGTCGCATCTCTGTCCTCTAACTGCTTACTTTCTCTTCCAACAAGAATGTTTCCATTCTCTTGTATCACTTTCAGAGATATTCTGTGAGTGAAAAAATAAAACGAAACGAATTAGGGATGTTTGCTTCTGAAAAGATGGGGTAGTTGTACTTTCCCCTATTCCTCCCACTAAGTACAGCTAAATATGAATTAAACATTATATGTAAAACAAACGTGAGATGATTTTGCAAGGTGGAGAGAGGAGGGCTGATAGGCTAGCGACCTATGAACAGGATCTGATGAACAATATGGTAGTGAATTTCCTTGATTTTTTTTTTCTGCTTCATATATCTGGATTGGGCTCTAGAAACGCCAGCAACCTAGAGATGCCAGTGGGCACAGGCAAAAAAGTAAGCCCCAAGAAAAGACGACTCTCTCTAGGTAAAGGTCCAAAAAAGGAGCAGCCTAGCAAGACAGAAAAATTTTAGGCTGTAACTGCTCCAGGCAAACACCACAGGGAAAAAAAAAAAACATGGTGTCACCACAGTCAGCAAGTGCCAAGTGGAAAGGCTACCCCTGACTCCTAGCCAGGGTGAAATGAAGTAAAACTCGTCCCCTCCTAGCAATGGTAGTGGCAAAAGAGACCTAGAGGAGGATCTTGACTTTCCATACTGCTCAGCAATAATGAGGCCATCCCCACAACAGTGTTAATGGAGACCACACCTAGAGCATGGACTGTACCACCACTGAGGAATAACA